TTTTCAGAAGAAGATTATTTTTCGGCTTAATGTTAATCGCATCCATAAGAAAATGAATTCCTATTTCAAGAAGACTAAAATAGACTAGTTTTTCTTTGTAATGCAGTCAATATTCAACGTTGATTGATCTTCATTTATGTCTAGATCACATCAACAGCGATCTAAACTTCAATCGACAGTATTTATATCAAGTAGAAAATAGTAGCTTCGGAGTGGCTCTCGGCGACTTTAATGGTGACAATTGCATGGATTTTGTTATTTCCTGTTATCTTGGAAATCGTCTCTACATTTTTCTTGGTTATGGCAATGGAACATTCAAATTACCAACAACTCTAACAACTGGTACTAATCCGTTTAATATGATCGTCGACGACTTCAATGGAGACAGCTATGCAGATATAGCTGTCACTCAGCTTGGCAATGACAGTATAGGTGTTTTACTTGGTCTTGGTGATAGTACTTTTCATTCACAAAATTCTTTCGCAGTTGGCTTTGGTCTGTCTTCAGTTTCTGTCGGAGATTTTGATGGTGATCAATTTCCTGACTTGTTGGTACCCAACAATGTTTTAAATACCGCCAGTGTTCTTTTCGGCTACGGTAATGGCTATTTCGCGTTCCCAATATCTTTTCCTACTACCATAGGTCCACTCACAGCCGTTGTAGCTGATTTTAATCACGATAATCTTTTAGACTTCGCTCTTGCAAACTATGGCGGTGATAGTGTGAGTATTTATCTTGGCTACGGCAACGGTTCTTTCCAAATGCTAGCTTCCTATCCCACCATGACCAATCCTTGGCAATTGGCTATGGGTGATCTGAATAGTGATCAACACATGGATCTTGTTGTATCAAACTGTGGAAATGGTACAATTAGTGTGCTACTTGGTAATGGTAATGGTACGTTTCGAGCAGCGGTTCACTACTCGGTTGGAGTCTGTTCGTATGGCATTGCGATGGGTGACATGAATGGTGATAATTACTTGGATGTCGTTGTTGTTGGAACCTTTTCTAATTTTTTTATTGTATTTCTCGGAGATGGAACGGGAAATTTCTCCACATGGTGGCCTTTTGTTACAGATTACGTTCCATCATCGTTGGTTCTCTATGATTTCAACAATGATGATCGACTTGATGTTGTGATTGTTCACGGTACGGGTAGTGTAATAGTATTTCTAAACAAAGGTTAATGTCTTAAAACTTTTCTTGAATTGAACTCTTGGAGGAGGTACTGCACTTCAAATCGCTACAGTTAAAATGTCCTTCATTTGCTCATTCATTTGTTTTTCTTCTTTCAAAATAAACGATTTATGAGAAAAATCAAAAGATATTCTTCGATGGATGCCATGTAGTAGTTCTTTATCAACTAACTTAAGCTACTGAAATGACTCGAAGGCACTGAATATTATGGTTCGACCACTATTATTCTAATAGTGAATGAATAAGTGAGAGTGAACGTTGAAGAACTTTTCAATCGGTGATACGAATCATCATTGTCGAGGCATATAATGACAATTGCATGAAATATTATGGTGTTTGGCAAAGAAAAAACGAAACATAGAAACAGAATCATTTAATTCAATTATTAGGATGATAATCTTTTGAGTGAAAATAGTAAAAAACAATACAATTATGATTTGATAGAATGCAAGAATGCTTTGATTCGTTATACTTTCACACATATTTTATACATGAAAAATCGGAAATTAATGAAAAAAAAAAGTAATTCTTAATAATGGAGTTTATGGTTCTAAAGAATAGGAAAGTTTTGTCTCCATTTGATCTCTATACTTAGTTAATTATTATGTGTGATGGTTTTGCCTTTCATTGATCATACGATCTGTTTTAATGAGAAACATGAAGGTAATGGTATCAATTAAGTTTTGAAATGTTGTATAGATAAATGTAAATGAGTGTCCTAACCGATTTTCGATAACAGTGATGAAAACAAAGAAATTCTGCAGTATGACAACAAAATATGCGTTAACAATAGAAGAATAATCATGATGTAGCGAAATAAGTTATAATACGGTTTTAAGAGTCACGATTCTATAGTTAGTCACAAGGTCTCTTTCATAGTATCGATCATTCTGTTTAAAGTCACGGAATATAAACGATCTGAAACAGATTTCTTTTAGTACGGAACAAGATTGAAAGGTGGACGATTGATTCTCTGTATTCATCACTACTATTTCCAGTTTTTATTTATTGCGACTACCTTATACTTTCTAGAGCGTGTTCTCGTCGTATAAAACGATGCATCCAAATATTTAATATATTCATAGGAAACTATGAGCAAAATGGAAACTAATAAACTATTTGCTTGAAGGAAACGTTTTTCTACAATGATTGAAAAATGACCGTCATTACCATTTATTATTTCGTAATCAAAATAAATACACAAGTCAAGAAGAAAGCTTAAATACCAGCATGAATGACGAACTGCATAAATAGAATCATATCGAAAGTTAACAAGCCAGATAATTATCTTTCAATATGACTTAGATTAGTTTTCATTATTTTATGTAATTAGAAACACTTTTTGCAATAGTTCCACATTTGTCTTTCATTGGACTACTCTTACTGTACTCTAGAATGACTGAACTAAAATCGAGAGTCAATATAATTTTTTGAATTTTTGAAAGCAATTCATATAGCAGTTAGAGATGTTAGACATCATTTTTAAAATTCATATATTTATACACATGGAAGAAAAAAATTACGCTGGCTAATTCATAACTTAGATGAGTTCCTATATAGAACTCTAAACAACCTACACTTAGGCATAATGTTGCAAATATTGAATGCGGCGAAAAACTTTAGAATAATTCATGACAAGCTTTCATGGTCCAATCTTAAAGCCATTTTATCTGATCGATACTCTGTCGATCATTATTTTACAGTTAGCAATTATGTTTTCGTTGAATTGTCATTTTTCCTCAAACAATGTACACATATATGTGTAAATATTTTCTTATAAGAATTTTTTTCTCTCTTATTCGATTATTTTTACATTTTATGATCCATATTGTTGCTGGATTTCGCTTTTCAATGTCAATAAAGATGAAGATATGTTGAAAACATTTCAAAGTAGCATTATTGACATGAAACAGATATTCCTCCTAGAATTCATCAATTTTTCTAAAAAAATATTGTCTGTGGAACTTTGCAATATCGTAGCGAAGTTCTTCCGAAAATCAATCAAGCATGTTTCTTTGTATATACACAACAAATTCTTAGATAAAAATGAATGTATTCTCTAGTGAGAAAACCTTTATTATATATTTGCAAAGAGTTTGTCAATTATTTTCTGATGATCATTATTTCAAAATCAAAGTTGAAAGGAGCAAGACTAAGTTATTTCAGTGTGATACAATGATCTTCGTTAGTTTTTGTCACGAGTCAAATATCTTGATTCCATACTTCATTTTCACTCAAAAGAAGTTATAATTAACTTCAAAGTATTGATAATATCAGAATTTTCAAAAATTCTTAATTTTTTTCTATTTCCAAGCAACTTAGATAATTAGAACTCAGTCGATCGATGATTGTTTTATCCCAGAAATTAACACGTAGATCTGGTCACACTGTAACTAGAATTCCAATGAACTACACTTGTTTCATACTGATTTTAACTCTTATATTCCAATAACTCAAGATTTGCTCGAGCTCCCAATGGATCAATACTAAGTTTCGAAGAAAGAGGAAATAGTACGTATTCAACTGTTAGTAGAATCGTATTCAAGATATAGAAATTATCGTGCAGTTTTCATTCACAATTTTATTCAAATCAAAACGAATATTATCTTACAACCATTCAATCAGATTTCATTATCTGTTATGCCAAGAAAGTTGTTAAAGATTTAATCATCATCAATACTAAAACAATGAGTAAGTACCTAGTTAAGCCGATCATCATATGTAATCTTAATGAAGAAATACTCAAATAAATCAATTATAAAGGAAGATGTATTGAATCATATAAAAGAATAAAGAAAACAAAGTCATCATGCAAATCGTCGAACTCAATGCTTGATGAAATCGCGTTTTCGAGTGTTCGAATGATATTTCTATACTCAATTTCATTAAAAGATTTACAAATAGTGAAACAGGCATTCACAAATAATTAAATAATGAAGTGATGCGCAAGATTTCAATTGGAAATTTGAAGCAGAAGATATCTATGAACATTCTTTTTTACACGTACTCGTGTTTTTTTTTAAATAATTCTTATATTTTTCTCAAATTATCTTCAAACACCTACAAGAATATTGAAGTACCATGCAATATACATGGAAATAAATTGGAGAGGATCAAAAATAATAAGTGATACTTCTAAATAATTCATGAAACCTCATGATACTTCAACATCCTTTACACTGTGAAAGTCAGATGATTTTCCGTTGTCAAAAGATGAGAAGGAGAACAAAATTACATTAAAATTTCAATAAAATATTCTGACTATAATAAAGATTAGTAGTATCGTAGTCCGTACAATATAACGAAGAATATATAAAGATCTTCTTAAAGCTTAATAAAACAGTATATTGTTAACATCTGATTCTCTAGTTAATTATAAAAAAAAAAAAATAGACGCTTTAACTCGAATGGGTTTATTTTCTCGATAAATGCTCTTTTAATGTTCTTGTATGTGAGATTTTGTAACCAACATAACTATTCGATAATGTGTTGTCAAGGAATCAATCCAGCATATATGATTGAAGTTCAATATATATTTATCGGAAAGATAAAATAGCGAGGAAGATGTAAGGTAGTATAGACCTACTAGTAATTAATTTGTATTTTTAGGTTGAACAAACACCAATAGTCAGACATCACGTACAACTCTCTTCTACCTAAAAAAAAAATTACAGTTGGAAAGAATGTCATTTTATTAGTAGAAATAGTAATTATTGGAGACAACATGCAAAATTCCAATGATATATAGAACTACATAGAAAAACAAAATCAAGAAAAAAAGCAATATCTATTATTTAGTTCAATTAAATATAGCCAATAATTTGAGCTTCCGAATATTGAACACCCCATTCTGGAGCACGTTGAGAAGTAACAAGAAGTCGATAACTTCTATAGGCAATTGTGTTCGAAAAATTTTGTCTAGTAACATATACCATTCGACCTGGATCCGCTGTGTGACTGATGCCAGTCGAACCACTATAGATAAGTGCCCAGCTCGATCCATTATCAAGTGCATTAGCGTTGGATCCTTCGAGAGTCACTGTGATTGGATCACGATTAGGAGAATCATTTGCAGTTGCAAAGAGAAGACTTATGGCAATTGAAGCATTGCTAATGGCAGGTATAACATAGAAACCAGTGCCAACTCCAGGTACAGAGGCCACTACGTTATAGTCACCAGTGCCTCCAAAATTGAAGTATTTTGTGGAAGTAGAGTTATCAATGGCTTGAGCAGGGTGTTCAGTAATTATCGAATACCTACCATCCTTACCCCCCGTAGAGGCACCAGCCGTTGTGTTATATACTCCAATAATAGTGTCTCCTGGTCGAGTGATTGTTACGATTGAACGTATAATCGTTGTTGTTGTTGAAGTTGTTGTTAATGTGGAACTTACTGAGTCAGTACTACCTAATTGTAATAGACAACAAAGTAAACTACATGAAACTATCTCAAAGAAAAAAAACTAGAACGTGAACAATGGCGTATATTGTTTTTGCATCTACTCATAAGAAAATAATCCTAGTAATGTTGTCACTTTTTGATACAATATCATTATCTGTATTACTTACATGATTACCCTGCTTGAATTAAAGCATTTTAAAACTAACATAAGATCTTGCTATTGTGGATCCATCACTGGTTCTCGTTATGTAATATTTCAATTCATACAAACAACTAGAAGGCAGCTAACATTCGTTGAGAACGAGTTTCATAAGAGAATCGTCTAGCACATTTGTATATTGTAATGTATTAGTGTGAAAATGTATCAGACCGATTTTTCGCTAATAAGAATAGATGTCAATAGATAGATGAGCAAAAACCTTGAAAAACCATTAGCCATTATTAGAAAGAAGAAGAACACAGAATGAAATCTGACTTAAATGTAACTCGATGTAACTTAAAAAGAAAGTTGATAATAGTTTGAAAATATTCTAGTTTTCATTAGTCGTATTCTTCGT